AAAGAATAATAAGTTGAAGTTTGTAATATAATTGTAATTTTTATTGAATCACAAACATTTAGTGATGACGTTTTATGAATTAATGGAACTAATGGAAATAAAGACAAATGAATATTTAAACATGAACTTAGAAAGATATATTCATTAAATATGAACATTTTAATTTTACTGTTCATTGGATTTTCATTATCAAAACAATGTAATGACTATAAACAAGGGTATGAAATAGATACAGTTGATAGTGCATTTGAATGTATTGAATCAATTAAAACAACAGAAAAAGAAAACAGTGATATTATTAATGGATTAAAATATTATTTAGAATCATATGTTTTTAAAGATATATTAAAGAATCCACCACAACCAGCATTCTCAGATGATTATTATAATAAAATTGATATTGATGCAGAATTAAATAAAATAAACACACAAACAACAAGTATGTATGATTTCTATTCTCAAATTAAAAACTTTATTGTTTCAACAAGAGATTCTCATTTAAGTTTTGGTATGGATTATACTGTTTATAAACCAAATTTAATCCTAAAGGTATTAGGCAGTTTCCTTCCATTTTCAATATATATTAATGATGATAAGAAAATGCATTTACATCAAAGAAGCACGACTGGTGGTATTTCTGTTGATGTTCCACAAGAAGTGATTAATAATGAAAATGTAGCAGTTAAAACAATTAATGGAGAAGATCCATTTGATATTATTCGGAAATTTGGAAAGAAATACATAGGATTTAACTCTCCACATGCACAATTTGAAAAAGCATGTTCAACATTTGTTTTTGCCATATTAGAAGAAATACCATTAACAAAAGAATATTTAAATACACCAATAACTATTATATGGGAAAATGAAGAAAGTGTAAGTGTTACATATTCTATATTAAAGCTACCACTATCGAGTATAACAATGAAAAGATCACTTCAAGTGAAGTAATTTAAACAAAGATTTGAGCCAAGGATAACATTAGAAGAAATAAAACCCGAAAATGAAATGATTAAAAGAATGAAAAGAGAAGAAGGAATAAACCAATATTATGCTTCAAAGGATGATAGTGTATATTGTTCTTCTTCAAGTAATATTAATAAACTTGAAATTTTTTCATTTAATCCTGAAAGTAGTTATATAAAATCATATGAAGAAACAATTTCAAAATGTATTGATTTATTTGATTCTAATGATTATCCAATTCAAGTAGTATTCTCAACGAATGAAGAAGAAAATATAATTTATTCACAGTGGATAGAAAAGATATTATCACCATATGATGATGTTGATATGATTGTTTCTGGGAGAATATCAAATTTTACAGAAAGTGTAATGAAAAGAGAATATGGAAATATTTTAGATGACCCACACATATGTAAAGTAAGAGAAAGTTATGTAAGTCCAGAAGTACTTGGAGAATGGTATACAAATCCAAATAATATTAAGTATGATGACGTTGAACATAAAGTTTCACAACCTTCAGTTATGAAATTCAAACCAATGAAATTAATGAGAAAACCAAGAAAACCAACAGAAATAAAATTTATACAGATCCTCTTTGTTACTCTGGTTGTTCTACAATAACAAAAGGATTAAAAGAATGGGGAAGTGCTATTATTGTAGGATATGGTGGTGACATATATGGTGAAGATAAAGAATTTGAAGTTGGATTAACATCAAGTAATGCTATTAATGTTAATGATATAGATGAAGATAATATTTTAAAACAATATGGATATAGTCTTAAAATAAGTCTTTTAGAAAGATACAAACATAATTATAATTACAATGAAAATATTCCTAGTGAATTTCTGACAGATATTGTTGACGAAAGAATACGTGTTAGTAGCAGTACTTATTATAGAGAAAGAATAACAGAAGAAACAAAGAAAATAGTAGAAAAGTATAAAACTAAATGTAATCCAAAGAATAAAAGACTAGTTAAAAGAGATAGTAGATGTGATAAAGAAATTAATATCGAACATGGACATGGAGGATATGAATGTGGAGATAATGGAGAATGGAGTACAAAATGTGTACTAGCCTATTGTGATTCAGGATATAAATTTGATTATATCAACAATAAATGTATTGAAGATGTATGTGTTTATCCACAAAATCTAAGCAATGGAACACCAAGAATGACAATAAACATATTCCTGATAATAATTGGAATAATCACATTAATTCTCTAATTGAAGAAAGAATAGTTTAAAATATATTTTTGGTTTAATAAAATAAATAATAATGAATAATAGTGTAAAGAAGTAAAGAGATAGTTTGAATATCTATATGTATTTTATAAATAAAAACAAATTAATTAAGTATTGATAGAATTATCTTCTATCACTCTGTGTTTTTAAGATTAATACAATCAATATTAACTAGCATCCATATAAAATATATAATTGGTAGAGAAATAATGTTCTATGATTTCCATCATATTTTAATTACAATGTTTTTGAAATATTAATAATTTTCAATTTTAATTCTTTTATTAATTTAATCTTATCTACATTCAATAACTCATTGATAGAAATTACTTTTTGAATTTGGTTTATTGCTTTTATTATATTTTATATTTACAAAATTATTCTATGTTAATCACTTCTTTCATTATTCTATTTCATTATTCCATCGTAGTTTTATTTTTTATTGTTTATTTATCATGTATTTATAGTTACTTCTTCTTATTCTGTATTTCTATATTTTTCATTAGGCACAAAAATTAGCAAAGAAAAAATGCATCTAAATATTTTACAAAAAAGAAAAAAGATGCAAAAAAATTTGCATCCATAGATTTTTCCATTTATTATATTTTGCTCCTAAAATAAAAATAAAAATAAATAAAAAATATGATAAATACACAATCAATAAATATTTATGTTTATATTTTATATTCATTTGTATTCATTTTGTATGAAATATTAATGAAGTAGATGATTTGATTATTCATATTTATTTTTATTATTTTTATTCTTTTATTTATATGTTATTTATCTATAGTATTTTTATATATTTATTTTTATATTTATTTCTCTGTTTATAATATGTATATCTTTGTATTCTTCTTATTATCTATATATTATTATATTCTTCTTATTTTATTATTTTTATGTTTATATTATTTAGATTTTCTTATTGTTATTCTTTTATATTTAAATGTATTTGTTTATTCATCTTATTCATCTTTTCATCTTTTATATTATTATCATTTATATCTATTTTCATTTTATATTTATTCTCTTTTGTTTTATATTAATATTAATTTTATCTTTTATATTTTGATTTTATTATTATATCATTGATTATCATTTCTCCTTTTATTTATCATTTATTCTTATTATTCTTTTGTTTTTTATATTCTATATCATATATTCATATCATTTTCATTTATATTTTATTAAATATTATATGTTATAATAATAACATAACACATATGATTGAATATATAATAAACATCATAATGAAGTTATACATATAAATAATAACATAAAAAGAATAAAATATTTTCATCAATAAAACAATACTAATTATTTTGAATCATTAAATTAGACACTTTTATTTCATATTTCTATTTTTTACAATAAAAATACACTTTTTATTTCTTCTTTTCATCTTTCATTATCTATTTTCTTTTATTACTTTTTATTTTCTTTATTATATTCTCTACTTTCTACTTTTATTCTTTTATTTTCATCATTTTCTTCTACTTCTTTATTTCATTTTTTATTATTTAAATTTATTCATTCTTTATTTTCTTATTTTATGATGATTTGACATATCGTTATTACTTTATTATTATGTTTAATTTCATTTATCACATTCATGAATATCATTTTCTTTGATAATATTTATATTATCAATTTACTTGTATCTTGTTAAATAATTAATATTATTATCTTTGTATATT